AGTGGAAGTCTCTGAAAAAGGAACAGCCGCCTTTGAGGTCGAGCTGTCTCACGAGGACGTGGAAGGAACCTGGATGAAGGACAGCATGAGGCTGAAACCAGGGGCGAACGTTGAAGTGAGGGTCCAGGGGAAGAGGCACAGAGCAGATCCAAGTGCCAAAAGGGACTGGATAAATTCATGGAGGATCAATCTGTTAATGACTGTTGAACAGAACAGATGAAGATGCTTCCTCTGTCATTTCTAACTCAATAAATGATGGATGCCAGGGAGAGTATTGCACAGGGGTTAGACTCCTCTAGAGATACCTGGTTTGAAGCTCTCCTTCCACTTCTGCCACTGTCAGAGATAGGATACCGGACTAGTTGGACCATTGGTCTGGGCACTGTTTATGGTCTTATGCCGTGTTTCTACAGTGCATTGCCCCAACTATGGCCTGCTTATGGGAATTGCTTTGCCAATGCAGCTGCTTCTGAGGTGGTACAGTACTGCTGGAGCCCATTCAAGGCATGAGGCATAATGCTCGTTACACTGACAGGTTGGGGCTGCATCTGATAGGCAGAGGGGGCCCTGCTGAAAGCCCATGGGATGGCTGCCTGGCTCTGCTGGCAATTAGTAGGTCAGGTGCACGTCAGTGGGTGCCCTTCCCCATCGCGCCCACCTCAGCTGGAGGTGGGCACAAGGAGACGGTAAGCCCAGTCTCCGGGGCAGGAAGGGATGCCATCGATCCCTCTACAGCACTACCCTCTGGTCATTTACGGAGTAGCACTACCGGGCACGGCTGAAAAAATGGCAGCACCCACTCAGGGCTTCAGGGAACAGGATGTGAGCGGGACTGGCCAAACTGGGCCGTGCCTCCAGAGTGACTGGGGAGCGGGTCATCCCGATACACTCTCCATCAGCTTGAACCCATTCAGGCCCATTTCTGTTCTAAAGGTCTTATACAAACCAGGCCCTTCAGGAGGGACCCTCCACGCCCCACCCCCAGAGCTGCACCTTAGTCCTCCTGCGCTCTGGGACCTGCCCTGCAGCTGCTCCCAAGGCTGAGGTTGGGAGCAGAAAGGAACGTACACAGACTCTGAGGAGAGGAAGGATTTCTGGGCAGCCGGCATGCTCTTCTGGATGTCAGCATCTGGATGGGAGATGGTGGGAGCAGAAAAGAGAGCAGCGTTAGTCTCCTCTTAGCAGGGCTCAGTGTTAAGCCCCCCCCGCAGGGCATTCTAATAGTGCGTGGTGCCCATCCAAGGGCAGGGACCCCTGGGAGCAGACCCCAGGCAGATTTGAATGGGGAGTCACATTTGGTGCAGGGCATATGCCAGCCCCCAGCACACCCACGCCTGGGGCAAGGAGGACAGGATCGTGGGTTAGTGCCGGGGTTAGGTAGCTCGCTGGGCTTCACACACTGCTGCAGAGCAGCTGTGGGACACGATGCCCTCAATGTCTGCCTTGCTGGGTCACGTCAAGCCCAGTCCATGAGACAGAGCCGCTACCCTTTGAGGGCTGTTCAGGAGCTGACATGGGACAAGCTGCCGGCGGCTTAAGGCCAATTCCCAATGCAGACTGGTGCACTGCACAACTCCCTTGGTGCTATCCCAGCAAGCATCCACTGTTTGTGGAGCTGCTGAGGCTGTACACACTGCTATCACACCGCTGCCACCCCCACCTTCCAGGGCACTAATACAAAGCCTTGGCACCCCTGGACTGGACACGCTTTAGGCCACAAGAGCAGGGCGCATATTGAGCCTGCCAGGCTTGACCTCAGGCAGTGCTTTGCCTCTTGGTCCCTTCCTGTAGACTCTGGCAGGGGCTGTGTCCTGCTCCCATATCCCTCCTCAGTGCTCGTTGCACACTCAAGGACCACGAGAGCCCAGCACCACACTGCGTTCACACGGGACCAGCAGAGACCAGCAGCTAGGATGCACTGCCCAGCTCCATGGGTGTTTAACTCCCTTGAAGATGGGCACAGACGCCTGCTGCATGCCCTGCTGCTGCACTGTAGGCAAGCTGGTGGAGAGTGCAGGTTCCCTGTATTATACGAGTAAGGCCACTTGCACTCAAGATGCACTTGGCCCCAAGCCCCTGGAAATCCAACGCAGCTGTAAGAACCTCAATTCTTGCCTCTCCTGTGTAGGACACGTGGAGCACAACCTCTCTCAGGGACTCGGACCTCCCTCCAGCACAGATGCTCTCCATGCAGCCTCCCTGAGCACCTCTGGCTTCCCATGCAAACAAGAGTCCTGGCACTGACAGCCCACACCAGCCGGGCACATACTGCACCTTGAGCCACTGTACTGCACTGGGCCTCTGCCCCTAACACCACATTGCTCCTTGTCAGAAGCCGCTGGCACCCCCAGCACCCCAGACTGCTCCAGACCCTCTCCCACCAAAAACACCTTCCCCTCCAAACCTCAGTCTGTGCTACACCAGGAGGCCACAGGGCAGCAGAAGATGCTGTGCTCACAGGTTACCCCAGCAAACGGGCTCCATCACCCACCAGGGAGCTCAGCTCCTTTGTGCTGAGCACAGTGTGCACATCGAGACTAGTGATGTCCTCCCACCCTGCAGGGCCCCACAGCCCCGCTACCTGAGAGCAAAGCCAAGGCACAGCAACGTGAGCCACGGTCCTCAGAGCTGAGGTGGAACCCAGGTGTCCCCAGGCTCCTGTTCGGACCACACCACCTTATCCCAATGACCTCAGTCCGCAGACCTGAATTTGCTTCAGACCTGGGGCTGTCCTCAGAGCACTGGGCACTGGAGCTACAAGACTCGGCCCTCCTGGACGTGCCACAGCCAGCCAGCAGCACAGTCAGCACCACCCCATACCAGTGCTCTGGATCAGACAGCTCAGAGCCAGGGCATTCAGCTCCACGTTGCCCACAGGTGGGATCATCCCTGCAAGCCTTCCCAGGGGGCAGCAATGATGGACTTCCCCAGACCTCAGCACCGAGCCGGGGACATTCCCTGTAGGGCATCAGCTCCTGCCCAGAGCCGACACCAGCGCAGCCCGTCTGACAGGTCTCATCCTAGACTGGCCTGATGGATCTCAAGCTGCCCGTCACCTTGGCATCTGGGCGTCAGATGAGGCACAGACAAGACCAGTGATCAAAATACTTTGAGGTCTGCTTTCCTGGTGGCTCCCTGATGCTACAGGCAGCAGAGCTGCGTTGGCACACCCAGGGAATGCCCCACACCTGAGCGCAGACATGGCTGCAGCCAGCTGGGAGGGGCTCGGAGCTGCTCTCAGTGGCAGCTGCCCACCGAAATACAGGTGACAGCACAGCTGTCACTGTGGGGCTGAGCAAAGCCCCCCCCAGAAGCAGGCTGCTGAGGGCAGCAAAGGCTTCCAATGGCTCCAGAGAAGCCTAGAAACCCCTGACCACTGTGGAACAGCATTGCGCAGGCGCTGCTGGGTGTCTGGTTTGAGGCCACCACTGCTGGAGTAGGGCAGGGGAACCACCCCTTGGTCTCACCTCCCAGGGGGCACCTCACTTGGCCTCAGCATGAAGGCCACCATGCCCCTGCTCTCAGCCCTGACAGGTGGAACCTGCCTCTAGTGCTGCTGCTGGATGAGCCACACCAAGTGCCATGGGAGCAAAGCCAGGGCAGGGGCAAGGCTGTTCAGCCCCTTGCTGTAGCTTCCCACCAATCTGCCCCTCACTGCATTCACCTCCGATCCTTTCCCTCCAGCCATCAGATGACAATTGTGGCTTCCAGATGTGCAAGCTCTGGGAAAGCCTGGAGTGAGGCTGGTGAGAAACCAGACGGCATGCGCAGAGCAGTGAGCTCACGGGGAGTGGACAGAGCTGGGCTCCAGGGGTTTAGCCAGGGGTCAGGATCCAGCCTGAAGCCCACCAAGGCAGCATGAACTCAGGTGCCCACTCAAGTCCCCTGGGGCCCCCCTACTCCCTGCAACCCCGACACGCCTGGGCGACGCACACGGACAGGTGAGCACAGACACACACACACATGCAGCTGCGGGGAGCACTCTCGGGTACTACCTGAGAATAGGGAAGCCATTGACACCGAGAGCCCGTTCTTGGACATTTGAATCAGGTTAGATCCATCGCTACCATCTGCATGACACGGTGATGACAAAACAGGTCGCTTCAGTGCTTGGCCAGGCCGGGGAGAAAGGGCATCAACATGACAGCAAGCGAGTGGGGACTGAGGGGATGCCCAGGACAGGACACAGGCCTCTGCCTCAGTCTTCACAACCAACCCCATGCTCTAGCCTGCCAGGACCCAACCTAGGGCCAGTGCTGTCAGCAGCCAAGGACAGAGGAATAGGAAGACTGAGGGACATTTATCACAGAGACTGCAGAAAGCCCCAGTCCAGCCTGGTGGAAGACAAGGCAGCGGTTTCTTCATTAGTGCCCCTTTATAGTCAACCAGTGGGAATTGCTGCTGAACAAGGGGCACTTACTGTGGGGGTCATCCCACCACCCTGCTGGGTACGAACTGAGGATTCAGAGCCCCCAGTCCCAGACTAACACCTGACTGCAGCTGGGAGGCCAGGGTTTGAACAGAGTCCAGCGCACCTGGCTGTGAGGGGATAGGGACTGCTGGTAGGGACAGTCCAACTACACAGGCAAACAACCCAGTCCCTTGGCCTGACCACTCCCCATCAAGGGGACCTGCTAGGAGTAGTGAACTAAAGGGTCGTTTGGACTATATGAAGGGTCCCCCAGGCAAATCACTCAACCCTTCTTTGTGCACAGGTCAAGGGCTGCTAAGGCGTCGCTCCGGTTTTGGAAGGCACCTGGGATTCCAACTCAACACCCAGTTCAAGGCCATCATCCAAGGCAGGGCACGCCCCGCGCAGGCACAGCCCCACTGACAGCAGTGCAGCGCTACCCCCACCCCACCCTGCTGTGGGGTGCAGCCACCCTCTCTTACCTTGTATCTCATACTCCTCAACTTCCTCCGCAGAGCCCGAGTCCGAGAGCCGCATGGAGTCACGAGAGCTGAACTGGGACCCACTGTCTGTAGCCATGAAGCCTGGAAGGCAGATCCCACCCCAGGAGGTGCATTGAGATGGGGCCACAGAGTCAGTGGAGGGTGTCTAAAAGCAGCAGCAAGAACTAGCAGGGTAGAAGGGGCTGTGATGTGGCTGGGCTGAGTATTGGGGTACATGTGGGAAGAGAGTTAAGCTACATCCTGCTATCTCTAGCAGGGAGGGGGTGTATTATCAATGCACACGGAGCCATCATACTAGAGTCTCCCATTCGGAGCACATGGACCTTGAGGAGGGAGTTAACACACAGGGAATGAGCCTTGCTGTCACCTGCTGGTGACAAGTCACACCCAGCAAGCAGCACTCACCATCGGAGCCCATTTCCCGGTAGCCAGGGAGATGTTTGGTGCGGATTTGCTGGCGACGGATGCGGATCTTCTGCTTGAGCTCCTGAATCTCCTTGTCGCTCTCCTCCTCCTCCTCTTCCAGCTGCTGGCTCAGCATGTTGCATTTCATCAGCTCGATAGCTGCAATCAGCGACTCTGAGATGCTGAAGTGGGCATTTTCCTGGGGGTAAGGGTCACACCCTTAGTGGCTTCCTGACAGCCTGCAGCTCAAGACTCCCAGTACCAGACAGCTCTGCAGCTTGCACTCGGCAACAGAGAGCCAGCAACCAACAGAGGCGGTGCTGGGTGGACCACATTATGGACAACTTCCCTTCCTACTGCACCTCTGGAAGCCTGCACCTCCCATCAGGCCACAGGAATGTCTAAACCTTCCTTAGCCTGGTGCATCTCAGGCACAGGGTGTATCCTACATGTTGGATCTCCACTTCTGGTAGGAATACTTAAGTGCTTCTCACTAGGGAACCATCTAGGACACCCCAGACAGGAAGAGGGCCGGCTCTAGACAGTCCATCAACCTGAACTTCAGCATTAAGAGATGTTGACATAACCCTGACATCTGCCTTTCCGTCTCCTCCATGACTATGGCATAGGCAGGGCCAGGAGGACACGAGCCTGCTGCAGCTGAAGTGAACAGCCTGGAGAGCAGAGTCCTGGCAGGGATCTAAATGGCTCTCCCAGGGGTCATGAGGGAAATCCAGGCAGATTCTCCTAGGCCCAGAAGGTGATCCGAGGCTGCAGGGCCTTCTCAAGGTGCCAGAAGGGTGAGATTTCAGTGAAGAGATGCATGTTCTACAGTCTCTCTCTCCTATGGTTTGCTCCAAGCACCACATAGGAGAGAAGCACTATGGTTTCAGCAGGCTGTGAGTCATCATCACTGGTCACAAGTGCCTGGAGGCCAGTCAGGCCTGCTAGGGCCTGGACAAGGGGCAAATACTAAGTGGCAGAAGGGTGAGATTCCACCCTAAGACAAAGCAGGGCAAGAGGCGCAAACAAGGGACTGAACCTGGCAAGTCAGCCCCAGCACACATACCCAAGGGAGACTCGGTGGTGGTACTGGCAGCTCCTGGCTGGGGGATGCTACAAGACAACTTCCAGTGAGGCAGCAGCCAAGCAAGGCCAGCGCACAGCTCCAGGGCAGCACTGTAGCACTTACACAGGCTGCCCCTTCCAGCTGCTGGCCAGCAGCGTTGAAGGTCCTGGCCCAGCACCCAAGACCACAACCCCCGCAGCGCCCTGGCCAGCCCCTACCTTCTCCAGGTCCGCACAGCTGCCAAAGTCCTGCTCCGACAGGTAGCTGATGAGGGACTGCCCCTGCGAGGGTCTTCGGAACATCCCTTCTCCCGAACTCAGGTACTGGCTGGTGTCTGGAAAGGCAAGAGACCGGTATGTGGGACGGGAGCAGCTGGGAAACCCAGTGCTGGGAAGTCCAGAGGAGCCCATGCATGAATGCCATGCCCCTGTTTGTACCAGCCTGGCTGCCTCAACACATACAGCAATCACCAGACAAAGTCAGAGCTGCATCCTATGTTGTCTAGCAACCAACTTCTGACCACGATCAACTCCGGAGTAGTGAGATGCCACAAACCCTGCCACAACCACAGGCAATCCCCATCCTCATGACAGCCCCACCTGATCCCCAATGGCTTCTGCTCAGGGGAAGCCCCAAAGCTCTGCCTTGCAGCCTCTCATCTTCCTTGGGCACAAACCCCAGCCCTCCCCACAATTGTTACTCTTATGGGGAAAGCAGCAATTGTGGAACACACTTCCTCCCCCACCCCCAGTCATTGCAATGGTTAAGTCTTTGGGGCAGCTGTGCACCCCACTCTGCACAACGTCCAGGGAAGTGAGGCCATGACATTTGTGCTCTAGGCACCGCTGTAATTAGTGGTAAGGAACTCCCTCCTTCCAATGCCTGCCAACATGGTACAAGGGCAGCCAGGCCAGAGATACATAAGCAAGCAACTCCCCTCAAGTCAATGCCTATTAGTAGCAACAGGCAGATGCCCTAATGCACCCACGTGGCTGTTGATGTTATAGGAAGGATTATCCGAGTACAGGGGCAATGCATTTCCAGGGGAACTGCTGCTCTTCGGAGGCACAGGTGCAAATGGGAATCAATCATCCTGGCAGGTTCAAAGTCCTCCTGCAAACACCTATGAGAGCCAGACACACCCTCCTGGATAGGGGTTCCTTCAGCTGCTCTCTGCCCCAGCCGTACTCACCATGCTCCATGTACAGGGAGCTTGGCATGCTCACATCACTGCCCTGGGGGGAGCAGCACAAGGGGCCTCGCACTCGCGAAATGTCTCCATGCGATTCTGAGAAAGGAAGAGAGAAAACACCACGGCAGGTCAGTAGCCCTGCAGGGCTGGCCCAACCCCAAACCCCAACCCCGTGCATGATATGGGATGGAACGAGTCAGACACCAGAGAACAGACAGAAACTGAAGGGGGACAGGACAGGGTCAAGCCAGCTGGTCTCCAGTGAGGAAGGGGATGACCCGAGTGCAAAGCAGGAGGGGCAGTGCCAGGGAGGGGCAGGCCATGAGCAGGGGATAGCTTGCCTGGGCTGGTCTCCGAGGGTGGTTTCTCCCAACAGCAATGGGGAAGCAGGAAAGGGACAAGCGGGCAGAACGGAAGAGCCTGGCTGCAGCACAGCTTGTCTGTCCTATTAGCTATTGCAATGAGGGGGAAGGGCACAGAGTTAGAAAGAGCCCCTGCTCCCCTTGGCAGCAAGGCTCAGGATTGCAAGAGCTTGACGTATGGTCTGGGTGCTTGGTGCAGGGTTCCAGGCACTCAGTTCCCCCTCCAGAAAGGCAGGGGGCTAAACATGGGGGATCACGGGGCCCTGTGGTTCCAGCATACACGGAAGACAAGGTGCAGAGAAGTGTGTACTCTCTAACCTCCTCCCCTCAACAGCTCTAGCTGTGGGGAAGCAGCTTTCCTGCACGCAGGAGCCCCCAGTGCTGCAGTAGCAATGACCTACAGGCTCAGATACCACTGCCAACAGGACGCAGAGGTGACCCAACGTGCGGCTCCCAGCACCCTGCCCTCCATCTGCCCGGGACGGCAGTCACAGCCTCACTGGGCAGGACTAGGGGAGGGGCTGCCCCAGTCAATGTCATCAGAGGCAAACATGGCTGGCGCCTGTAAGCCTGCAACAACGGTGCGATGGGATGATGCTAAGACCAAGTGCCTTGAGGCACGACCCCAGCAGGATGAAGCCCTGGGCTGTTGCTGAAAGGGACGTGAAAACCGAACATGCAAGGGAAGCTGTTGGGGGAAGTGAGGAAGAAAAGGGTGGGTGGAGAGGAAGGTGCGGGTGGAATATGCAGTTGCACCAGGCGTTGGGAATAGGGGGTAAACTCAGTTGGCTCATACCACTCTGCTCAGCCCCTCTGCCTCAGCTGCCGGGAAGAAGTGCATGTGGGCAGCAGGGAGCACAACAGGGAGAGGATGTGTCCTTTGCTGAATGAAGAGGCCAGCGCTAGGTCTCAGCCCTGCAGTCCTGGTGAGTGGCGGGGCCTGGGCCAGCACAAGCAGGACAGGGCAAGCCTCATCTGGAGGAATAACTGCCTCACCTCCAGAGCTCAGGGACATCCTAGGCTGCTGCAGGGGGCTGGGCTCTGGCCTCCAGGAACTGGAGCCAGGTGAATTCACTTTCTGCAGGCCGCAAAACAGCTGTCGAGCAGTTTGGGCAGGGTCTGAGCTGAGAGCCCCATGACAATGGCTCAATAATAAGCGTTCCACTCCTCAGCTCCAACGCCCAGCACCCACAGGCATCACACATGAGCGAGAGGCTACAAGGACTCGCCTACCCCAGAGCACTGACATGAAGACAGCCTCCAGGCCCAGCACGGCTGATCTCCCAATAGTGGGGAGGTCCCAGCCACTAGGACCAGTGGCAGGACTGTGGCAAACAGCGCTGGCAAGAGCCCTGGGAGTCAAGCATCTTAATCTGCCGGCTACACGGACAGCGAGTGCAGCAATGGACCTGTGGGGAGCAGCTGCTGCACCTGTCTTGGGCACCTCCAAACTGCTCTAAAGGGTCCTGCACAGCCTTGCCTGGCTGAGGCTGAGGTGCTGAACTCTGGTGATATCCAGCGGTGAGCACTTTGGCCCCTGTAGAAGTTGGGTCACACTGCCTTATGCAGCGCAGAAGCAGCAAGACCTGGAATTGAACCCCAGAGTCCCAACTCCCCGCGTCATTCTCTGAGCATTACACCATAGCTGTAGGCCAAGCATGCTGTCTCATGGGCAGATGCTGCTCCCAGCTCCATGAACCTGAGCTCCACCAGGCAAGGGGGTGAACGTGACATATAAGCCAGCCTTTCTCTGTCTCCCAGCATGGCTCAAAAGATGTGGTGAGGCCAGATTTCCCAAAGGGGAAGGAAGCCAGCCCACACCTCACCAGTAAAGGCAGCAAAGCACCATGCATGGGAACGGAGCACATTCTCAGTCCAGTCCGGCACCCCCTCCCAAACCCAGCGGGGATCCTCACACAGGTCACATGCATGACCCCGGGTGACCCTCCATGCGCCATCAGGGACTGGGGAATGGAGAGGCTGGAATGGACATCAATGCATTAATGGAAGTCCTGAATGCAATATAACGATGGCTGACGTGGGGAGGGGGACACCGGCTCCCAAACCTGCTACTGGGTCTTCTATAATAATGGTGATATCCCTGAGGCCTCCTGGGCAGGCAGCAAAGAAAGAGTGTGAGGGGAGGAGAGAAAACAGACACACATGGGTTACTTGGGGGCTGCTGCTCCTCCTGGAAGGCAGCACCATGGCGTCCACCTGGCAGCAGGCCTGATGCCCACCTCCAGGAGGTCCACAGGCCTGGCACTCACCTGCAAAGTGCAGAACAGACAGCCCAAAAAGACCCGGACTGTCTTGCAAGTCTAATGAAGGAAGGCCCAGTGATAGGGCCTCTGGCACTCTGAGATGGACACCCGGAGCTGCTGGACGGACGAGGCCCCAGAAAGAGGGCAGAAGGGCCCTGGGGAGCTCCAAAGCAGTGCCAGCCTGCAGTGGAGCCCCAGGGGACCACACTAACTCGATATCTGCTGGCCATGTGAAGCCTGGCTGCAGAGCAAGTCAGGGACTTCCAGGAGTAGAGCTCAGAGCTTGGCTGAGGAGGGGGCAGGCAGGAGGCAGCTCCATCTCTGGGCATATACAGTGCAGAGGCCAGGCCCAGCTGCCACAGTGCATGCTTTGCCTCCCTTGCATTGCACAGCACCAGGCCCCCCTCAGGTCCCCACTGTGCGAGGACATTGCAAAGGGGTGTCATTCACTAATTAACGAGTGTTGATGCCCCTGCACATAGGCAAACACCCACTGCTGGCACCCTCTGGGACCACCCTGTAAAACCCAGTCACTCTCCTGTGCATGAGACCTCTCCCCAGACTGCATCTCATGCACAATGCTGCCCCCACCCACTCCCCTGGTCCCAGCCTTACCATGAGCTCTCCCTGAGGCCACGTTGGTATCCGACTGGGAGCGTGCGTGACTCTTCTTGGGGATCCCCTGCGTGGCTGCCGTCTGCCCCTCCGAGAAGCTGGACCTGCGCAGGATGCCCATGGCCCTGGTGCAACTGCTGGGGCCCTGCTCCCCCAAGGAGCACACTGATTCTGGCTTCTGAGAGCTGCTGGATGAGAAGAGGGGAGAGCTGCTGCTCTTGCTGCTGCTTGAGCTGCTCTGGCTGCTGGCTGCCCGGCCTCGGCGCCCCAGATTCCCGATGGCCAGGTACTCCGGCCCGTCGTTGGCGTCGCTCTGCTGGTCGTCCTGGTTGCCCACCCAGGCGTCCTCGCTTTGGCCAGTTGTGGTGCTGGCGCTCATCTCACTGGCCGGAGAGGACAAGTCCTTGGAAGAGGGAGTGCTGAGGCTGGGAAGGGGGCCAGACAGGCCCAGAGGGGACTGGTCATGCAGCAGCAAGCAGGGCAAGTCGTGCAGTGAGCTCTCTGGAGGCTGGCTGGTGCTTCCCACCAAGAAGCTCGCCACTCTCCTGTCTGGAAGAGGTGGAGAGAGGGGGTGATGTGTCGGAATTGATGGTAGTTTTATGCAGAGTTTAGACATTGAATTTGTCTGAGATAGTTTGGACAGGGCTGATCCTGCCTCAGGCAGGGGTTAGACTAGTTGTGACCTCTGGAGCTCCCTTCAAGCCTCACTCCTCTGCGATTCTCATTGAACACAGGCCAATCCAGTCCAAGCGGCTGAAAGGAAGGGATCCAACACATTCCCTGCACACCTCAGGATTCGTGAGCTTCCCTGGACAGCTGGAGACGGAGACTCAGTCTAGTTCCTACCAAGGCCTCATATATAACACCTGAACATTTAGCCTTGACAGCATTGCAGGGAAGCTTGGAAGGGCTAAGCTGGGGGAACAGGGTGTTTTATAGGAAGCTTGTTCAGACAGCCTGGTCACACACAACTGTAAGGCCACAGGGTCAGAGTCAGGAGCTCTAACCAGAGCTGGCACTTTGCAACCCAGCCCCACCTGAAGCCCCTACTGTTAGCCTCCCCCATGCCGAGGGAGCTGGCCGTTAGGCTCTGCTTACCCGAGGTGCCTGTGGCGGCTGGCTGGTGCAGGCTGGAGAAGGACCCAAAGTACCGATGTGAGGGGTAGTCTGCGGGGATGACTGGCACAGACCCAGGAAGTGCTGTCAGGCTCTGGCTCTTGGTCGCCTGCAGTGGGGCTTCACCCTTCCTGGCAAACTGAAGAGGCGCAGCAGAGTTAATGCAGCCCAGCAGCAACGGCTGAGATCAGGGGCAGCTGGGCCCAGGGAGACAGAGGAACCCACCCCAATGTGGCTGCAGCTTGTGCCAGGCAGGACACAGCCACAGTGTTTAGCTGTGGGGAGGGGGTGGGGGGAAGCCACAGCAGCAAAGGGAAGCAGATTATTGTTCTCAGTGCAACAGCAGGCTCCAGTCTGGAAATGACTAGGCTCTCCCAACAGTGACCTGGCAGCCAAGTGCCCCAGGAAAACAGCACTTGTGTCCTTCAGTGCAGCAGTCACAGGGGTGGGGGGGGGG